AAGGAGCTGATTTTAATATTCAAATTGCTCTAACACCCGCATGCATAGTGAGATTGTCTTGGAAATCGTTATTCCACAGGGGCTGGGAGAGACTTTGGGAGAGAACACCCATTGCAAAGGGTGAGTTCACACTTCGCAGAGCTATTGTGTCAGCTGTACTCATCTCTCTGGGGGTGGGGAGGGTGTTTCAGATTCATTTTAGGCCTTGTCTACACTGCCACTTTACAGCGCTGAAACTTTCTTGCTCAGTAGGGTGACCAGATGTCCCAATTTTATAGGGACAGTCCCGATATTTGGGGCTTTTTTTTATATGGGCTCCTATTACCCCCCACACCAGTCCCGATTTTTCACACTTGCTATCTGGTCACCCTATTGCTCAGGGGTGTGAAAAAACACCCCCCGAGAGATGCAAGTTTCAGCACTGTAAAGTGACTATGTAGACAGTGCACCAGTAGCTGGTAGCTACTCCCCTCGTGGGGGTGGGTTCTTCCAGCGCTGGTGCCGTGACTACACAGCCTTCTTAAAGCACTGCCGTGCCAGCGCTTTAATATTGGTACTGAAGACATACCCTTAGAACACTCTATTGAGAGGAATGGTCTATTTCCTACCCCTGCAGTCCGCCTGTGCTGCAGAGGGTTGTGCAGAGTCCCTTTCCCCTACACTAGATCCTAAGTGGAGTATAGAATCTGGGGCTCCACTCCACTCCCCAACGGCAAAGTTCAAGTTGTGTGGCATTGCCTCATACTCTTCCAGAACATTAAGCGCACCTACACTTAAACCTCTGAAATTCAGGATATAAAGAGTTAACTCTAACTTTTCTACATTGGAGCTGGCAAGAAATCCTCAGTAGAGGTGCTGCCAAAATAAGCAGATATGATTAAAGACTAAAAGAATATGCCATTGTTTGTATTGTGTACTGTGTTCCACACAGTTGAAATCCAGCATTTATGTGCATGCAACTGCCATTCACTGTTCAGTGTATATTAAATGGTGGAAGGATTAGTTGGAACAGGTTGGCAGACCTGATGCTGTGATATGAGGATCGGTGCATATGTACCCTGAAGAATCAGGTCTGACTAATTCTAGCACTGAGTTCTGTAGGCTGTGTCAGCTGAGATGAACAAGGCCCTCTTGCCATGGGGATTGTCAGCAGTCTGGTGGCATACAACTGGCTTCTGTGGCTTAGCAAGGAGTAAGCAAAGGCAATGTCTCAGACAGAATCCTTCGGACAAGGGTCGTTTGTGTGGAGTAGGCTCAGTGTTTAAGTGTAGGCCAGGCATGCGACAACTCCTGTTTGCTATGCCTAGCCTAAACCCAAATTTTCCTTTAGCAAAAAGGTGCTAGACTCTGTCCAACAGTGCTCAAGTGTTCTGTTCCTGAAGTGTTCTAACTTCTGTAGCATCTTGGAGGGTAGAGTACTAATCTATGTTATTGGCATGCTGGGGCATCAATCAAAGAGGGCAGAGTTAAGCTTGTATTGCACAGGTCATACATATCTTAACTCTGTATCAGAGGTTTAAGTATAAGATCACCACTTACATAGTGCTTTTCAGTATAGGTGCCCTGAATGTTCTTCTCCATGGAAAGGAAGTTATGGGGCAGTGAATGGGTGCTCATAGCAAAGCTTTCTCTCAGCCACATGTTAGGTTCTACTGTCAATTGCAGCACTTTGCACCTACTTTGCCCTCCTCTATACTAGTGGTCTCCAAACTTTTTTGATCTCGCACCCCATCAGCAAAATTTTTTTGAGCACGCACTCCCCTGCTGCGCCAGCTCTACCATTTTTGCCGAAGCAAAAAAAACCCACATTTTTTTTTTAAAAGCTGCTTGGACTCCCGCCTGACAAAGCAAAAGCCGCACACCCCCACTTTGGAGACCACTGCTCTATACTCCAAAACTCACACCTCTGAGTGACACAGTGAGCAATGGTCTCAAGTTGCAGTGGGGGAGGTCTAGGTTGGATATTAGGAAACACTATTTCACTAGGAGGGTGGTGAAGCACTGGAATGGGTTACCTAGGGAGGTGGTGGAGTCTCCTTAGAGGTTTTTAAGGCCCGGCTTGACAAAGCCCTGGCTGGGATGATTTAGTTGGGGTTGGTCCTGCTTTCATAGACTATTAGGTTGGAAGAGACTACAGGAGGTCATCTAGTCCAACCCCCTGCTCAAGGCAGGACCAATCCCCAGACAGATTTTTACCCCAGTTCCCTAAATGGCCCCCACAAGGATTCACAACCCTGGGTTTAGCAGGCCAATGCTCAAACCACGGGGGGAATAGCCCAGTGAACACGGGGTTGGACTAGATACCTCCTGAGGTCCCTTCCAACCCAGAGATTCTAGGATACTGACCTAACCCCCAGAGTAGTAAGTGCTGTGTGGATAGGAGCTCCTGCCCCCGGAGAGTGGAGTCCCTACGCCCATGGGAGCTGCTCTGCCCTGGCTGTGGGAGCATCTTCGCCAAGTGCTCCCGGGCACAACTGCACCCCATGGGGCTATGGGGAAATGGGGTCCGGCCCTGGCCCTTGTCCCGGGAGATCAGCGCCGCCCAGTAACCGGGGAGGCAGCGGAAGGCGGGGGCGGAGGTGGGGCGCTGTGCCGGGGGAGGGGGGCCCAGGAGTCCCGCAGTGCAGGGCGCAGGGGCCGCCGCTCCCCGTGTCAGTGCAATGGACGTGGGCGCAGGCAGGGCCGCCCGGGCTGGGGGCTCTGCGGGACTATCACGGGGGGGGAGGGGCACGACACGAAACACAACCCTCCCGTTTTGCTACTGGGTGCGGTTTCTGCCACACAGCGTGACAGTTTGTTAACTTGCTACCGCCTGTCCATGGGGTTGCAAAACGGGAGGGATGGGGTTTGTGGTGGAAAACACTCACGGTCTGCTTCCTCTGGGGGGATGGTTGCAAAACGGGAGG